ATTATGGTCAGTTTAGGAATGGCATTTTAAAAATTTGTTTCGCGATTTTTTTTTTATATAAAATAAGTTTTGACTAAGTTATCGTGACCTGACATGACTTTGACTTGACCTGACCTGACTTGACTTGACATCTCTGAACTTCTCGGTCAAACTGATGCAACCATCATCAACACTGCAACATTAGGAGAGCTCTTCAAAAATAAAGAGAAGCATTTCGTCCTCCAGACACTCCGTAGTCCTTGCAAGAAAGACGATGAAGAGGAAGAAGATGATGGTGATAAATGTAGAGATTATGATGATGGTGGTGGTAATAAAAGTAGAAATAATGATGACGCTGATGATTATGATGATGTAGATGGTGATGATAGCTCCTATTCCCAACTTCATATGCAGTCTCCCAGAAAGGTTAAAGTTTTATAAATCATTGTTTTAAGCATCATCATCATCCTCATCATCATCATCTCCATCGTCTGCATCTTCGGTATCATCATCATCATCGCGGTTTCAGATATCGTCACCACCATCATCATCGCCGTCAGGTTTATTGATATCAGGATCACCATCTTCATCATCGTTATCATCATAACCATCGTCCTTGTTATCAGCATCACTATTTACATACTCGACATCATGATCATCAACACCAACAATAACATCGTCATCATCATCGTTTTCAGAAGTTGGATAGATTGCACGCCCTCTTTGAAGAGCTGCACGAATACGAGAATGAAGTGAGAGGCATTCAGGCTCTCTTTGACCAGGCTTCTACGAGGTGATGATGAGGATGATGATTTGGATGATTGTGATGATGATTGGGATGGTGATGATGGCGATGATGATGATGACCTCCTCCAAGCAGGACGACCAGATCCGAACCCCACCCTCTAACTCCCACCGGAAATAGTTCTCATCAGCCTCCATCACTATCATCACCGCCATCGTCGTCATCATTATCATCATCGTCGTCGACATCATCGTCATCATCACCGACTTTGTCCAGTGCGGTGGTCAGGGATTTATTCCAGGAGATTTTGAAGCAGATTGAGGAGGTCAAACCGTTGATACTACACGTCCAGCGGGCTATTTATAGGTGTGACGTCACCAAAGAAGATAATAATAATAACAATATCAATAACAATAATAATAATAATAATAATAATAAATGCAATAATGATAACGACCTTCATCATCACGTTGTTCTTAATGACGTCATAATTGAAGATGTCGGTGAGAATGAGGACGATGGTGGTGGTGGTAATGAAGGTTTCGGAAAAATTGAAGAAAGCGTAAAGGTGATAAGAAAGGTGAGAGTTGATTGATTGGCTGACTGACTGAATGGCTGGCGACCTTTTATAAATTCATTCATTCATTCATTCATTCATTCATTAATTCGTTCGTTCGTTCGTTCAATGCATTTATTTATTCAGGCGTTCATTTATTTATTCATACATCCGTTCATTCATTCGTATTATTCTTCCATATATGTTGATTATTGCATTGTCTGCCTGTACACTTTAGAAATAATTATTGTCAAATGCCAGTTAATAATAATAATAATAATAATTAAATTTTGTTTATCTGAAACAAAGTTGATAGACCTCGTAAAGGAACAAAACGACAGATTGATGACGTCATCATCGCAGCTCTCGTCATCAGTACCACAACCGCCATCATCATCATCATCACCACCACTATCATCATCATATCTTCCCCTGCCCACGCCACCGCCTTCGACCGCTAAAAAATCTGCCATCAAATTCCCATCATTCAATAAGAAGAACCGCACAGGGTCATTATCATTACCTCATGACAACTCATCATCGTCGTATTCGTCCTTCCCCTCATCGTTGACGTCATCGGCATTTGTTATGACGCCAGCGACGGGACCACCAGGGCCACATAAAATCTTCTTGCCGCATTTCGTCGCCGACACAATCAGCAGTATCAAGAAGACGTTTGACCCGTTGAAATCATCAACTTCTAAATCGTCATCGTCGTCATTCCCTTTCAAGATATCATTATCATCAACGCCGACTTCCTTAAATAGTCACACGACTTCATCGTCTTTGACGCCATCGTCGTCTTCATCATCTCCATCCACATTCCTTCAGAAATCATTCTTTTCAACCACAAAGTCCAAACAGAATTCAATAGCTCCATCATCATCATCGTCATCGTCGTCGTCGTCATCATCAACAATATCATTTAGGTCATCAGCAACGTCACCAATGACATCCAAATCATCATCGTCATTTTTGATTTCACGTGCTAACTTTAAACCAACCACCACGCCTTTTCATCTGAGCCCAGCAACATCATCTTCGACTTCATTTCCCATTGTGGCATCAGCAGCAGCAGCAACTACAACAACGACAGTTGCGTCACAAAATGATTATAATTTGTTGAAGAGAAGGTTGGCTTTGTTGGAGAGGAAGTTAGACGAGCAGCAGAGACAGCACGAAATCCGTTTGAAGAGTTTATTAGTTGAGGTAGGTTTCTTTTCTTTTTTCTCATTATTATCTGACTCCGGCTGTTTGCGTATGGCGTAACTTTTCTTCGCGCCACACTTCCTCGTCATCATTATCACCACCACCACCATCGTCGTCTTCGTCTTCGTCATTGCTTTTATTCAACTCACGAGTTAATGGTGGTTATGAACAGTTTTCTACTTTTAAAGTTGCAGACGTCTCTTCTGAAAGAATTGAAAAATTGAAGTGACAATGGAAGTCTTGACGAGAAGATTGCACTTGAACTATCCATCCAGAGCTTTTGTGAAAATACACATAAACAAGTAATTAAATAAACAAATAAATAAATAAATAAATAAATGAATGAATAAATGAATGAATGAATGAATGAATGAAAAATATTTTTATTGGTTTCATCCAGTTATTAATACATAAGTCGCTATTATAAACGATACATACAAAAATGCTTATAAATATACACATATACGAATGAAATACACACAAACAAATATATAAATAAATATTTATATTGTTTTATTAACTTATTATATTATATTTATTAATTTATAAAATGTATATATTTTATATATATATGTTTTTAATAATTTTTTGTGTGCTTTTTATTCAGTGTTTTATTTTTTTTTAAATTGTAATTCAATCATTACTTCCAACCCCACCAATGCTTGCCTAGCAACTACACAAAGTGCCTTCGGTCAATTTTTTTTCTACGTTCAAATCCATTTTTTATATCTATGAAATGAACGTTCTCTATTAATTAGTATTTTGAAAGGGATGTCTGTATTAGCTTATGTTTATTTGTCACTGGTATGATGGCGATGATGATGATGACGATGATGATGATGATGGTGGTGGCGATAATGATGATGATGGTGATGATGATGATGATAGTAACGGTCATGATGATTATGATAATGACGATGATAACGATGATGAGGATAGCATTAATTCACTATCAAGCCTTGCAATATCATTGATTGTAAATGATACTGCAAGGTGATACAATGATACTAATGATTGTAAATTACATCACCAATAACAATATTAATATTATTATATTAATAATATAATTATAAGTAGTAGCAGCTGCAGTAGTAGTAGTAGTAGTAGTAGCAGCAGTAGTTTTAGTAGTAGCAGTAGTAGCAGTAGTAGTAGCAGTAGTAGTAGAACTCTAGGTGTTAATATGATCATGCCAAACAATAAATGTTGACAAACTCTTACGTTTCATATAAGTTTAGCTTTAGAAAGAGTTTAGCCTATCGTAAAACGCCGATAACCGCCACAACCAACAACAATGATAATAATAATTATTATTGTATACATAATAATGATAATAATTATTATTATTATATACATAATAATAATAATTATTATTATATACATAATAATGATAATAATTATTATTATTATATACATAATGATAATAATTATTATTATTATATACATAATAATGATAATAATATAAATAATAATAATAGCGAGGTCGTCTGTTATACATGCAAGTAAGGTGGCAACATTAATAACAACGTTTCAATCATGCTATTCAATGCAAGTTGTTTAGTTTTTTTTGTTTTTTTTTTCATTTTCTGACACTTGAATTTGCCTTTACCGTCGTATTTTTGTTATTGTTTTCATCCTGATATTATTATTCCTATTTTTCATTGATCATATTTTTATTATTCCTATTATTATTATTACGATTTGCTGGGTGGATGAACGAATGAATGGATGGATGGATGGATGAATGAATGAATGAATGAATAAATAAATGGATGGATGGATGGATGAATGAATGAATGATGAATGAATGTATGCATGAATGAATGGATGAATGAATGAATGAATGAACGAATGAATGAATGAGGAAAGAAAGAAAGATTGATTAGCAGATGTGCTGTCTCAGATGTGAAGTTTATTTTGTTACAGAAATCAGGAAATACAATTAGATATCTTGATTATTTAGATATTTTTCTTCCGTTTTGTTTGTTTTTTTCAATGTTTTCAAATGATGTTGAGCCCAAATTATCAGTATGTAGACCCAAGCAGTGATATATTTTCAAATATACCTATGTAACAAGATAAACTTTTTTGATTCTTCACAAACGCATACACAAACCACAAATTTGAATATTTTATTTTATCTACTTTGTAATTTGGTATTCGAACACACACACACACATACACACACACGTACACACACAAGCAACAACACACACAAAACTGTGATCAACTGTGTTTTATTTATGAATGCTAATAAAATGATGCTTAATTTTTCAAATAATTGGCCACAAATAGTTTTTTAAAATAAAATTATATCCTGTGACTTTTTAGTAAAAATTGTAGTATTGAAATGTACGCTGGAGAGTTTAATGTCGCGCCATCTATCTGCATCTTGTGATCATTTACACTTTTGTATGCGTCCGTGTGCGTGAATGTGTGCGTGCGTGCGTGCGTGCGTGCATGATTTGTAGTAGTATGCCCGCTTTTAGCGATATGCAAGAAACCTGATTTTGGTTAGTACTGCCCTTGTATTAATTTTTTATCACTTTTAGATACTTTGCCGAACGTTGTTATATCCGCTGTCTGATTCATTTTATTTTGAAAATGTTCTTTATTTAATCCATCCATCTTTTCTTTCATTCATTCATTCATTCATTCGTTCATTCATTCATTCATTCGTTTGTTTGTTCTATCATTCACGCCTACTTCACATGTATGTTCAACAGTTTTATAGACACACGTACACACATATACATACACATGTACACACACACATACACGTGTACACACACATACATATGTACACACACATACACGTGTACACACACATACACGTGTACACACACATACATACACACACACACATACACACACACACACACATCTTGCACTTGGATGGGCTTGACTTTCCATAAACGGTTATAATAATAAAATTGCTCGTCCTTTCCACCTGATGTTTCGACTGTTTGTATTAATAAAATAGTGAAAAAAAAATAAAAACAATATTAAAAATGAAACTTTTCACTGATTAAATTTAAACTTTTTTAACAAGAGCAACTCAGGATGTTGTGGAATTTTTTTATTATCATAAAGGTTTCTTCAATTTAACTGCAGATTGTTTGGCTCACATTTAGAAAGGTTAATAGGTTTATCATTTGAAAAATAAATTATACAGTTAGTTGATTAATTAATAAATTAATTAATTATTTATCGTTCATCAAACCAAAAAAGTTAATCTATAGTCATAAATGATATCATAAAATTGTTCAACACAGTCAAATCTATACATGTATCGTAATGAATAACCATTGAGAATTATCTTTACAAATAGGATTTTCGTATTAGATAGTTTTTCATAAATATTATATACACACACACACACACACACACATATATATATATATATATATATATATATATATATATATATATATATGTATAAATTATTTCTATACTAATATATATGATAAGTGTTTGTGTTGAGTGTGCGTGTATGCGTGTGTGTTGTGTGTGTATATGTATGTGTGTGTGTATATATGTTCATATCTTTGTGTTTGTGCAAATAGATGGAAGAACGAAAGAAAAAAAAAGAGAAAAGAGTAGCAAAAATAATTTTTCGAAATTCATCACGAATTGTGGGATAGTCTATTTGAAACTTTTAAACTGTGGCTTTTTCGATTTTGTATGTAGACGTCTGTCGTTGTGATGAAGAGAAGAAGTGAATGAAAGAGTTAAATAGCCGGTGAGTGAAAGATATGATTAGTGAATAAATGGATGAGTTGCTAATTTTCTGAACGTGTGATTGTAGGAATGGATGGTAGAATTTGTATTTACTAATACATGAGTGTGTATGCGGTTTCAATGTATAAATGAACTCGATATGAATGAATCTCTAAGGACTGTAATGATGAATGAATGAATGAATGAATGAATGAACGAACGAATGAATGAATGAAAGATGAAAGAAAGATTGGTAGATATGCTCTCTTAAGAAGTTCGACGCTAATATCCATTCCTATCTCTACTACTAGATCGCCCTGTTAAAATAAAAGGAGTGGTTCATCAATATCATTAGTTGTTAATTGTCATTATTGTTGACGTCATCATTAACATATCATCATCACCATCAAAATAATCACGTGGCTAACATGATGACGATTTGTCGACGGAGGAACGCCTCCTGTCCCTTGACCCGCGTTTCTGATTGGTTGAGAGGTGGGCACTTCGAATGGCGGCGTCCAATAGATCCTCGTCTCCGGTGTCGTACGCGCTCTCTGTCTCCGAGTTGTAACCAATGCTGGCTGTGGGTGAGGTGCAGTGGTGGTGATGAGAATGAAGATGGTCGTGGTTACATTGGGGTGGTGGTGATGGTGGTGGTGAAAGGTGGTGATTTCGGTGATGGAGATGATGATTGTGACGATAATAACACGGCTTTTTAAAATCAAATAGGATACTACAGAGATACTGCAAAAAAGTAAATTTTACGAAAAAAATTGACAAAAAATTGAAAAATTTAATCTTAATATTATTATAAAATAAAATCCCATAAGTTGCAATATATAAAGTTTTTTTGGTACTGACACGAAGACGGCCATTTTGAAAATTTTGGCGGCAACAAATTGTTGTTGTTATAAAAAATGTTGCTACTATTGTTTGAAGAGTTGAGGGCAGAGTTAATGTTGATGTTGCTGGTGCTGATGTTGTTGATGTTGTTGTTACTCGTTGACAGCGGAATAATCGGAGGTTTCAGTGGATAGTACTTCGGTTTGGATGTTGCACCTTCCTGTGTGTATTAACCATTATTATTATTGTTGTTGCTGATGTTGTTGTTGTTTTGTTGTTGCTGTGTTGTTGTTATCATTATTTTAACTTATCATTACCTATCTTAAATTATCATAATTCATCTTAAATTATCATAATTCATCTTAAATTATCATAATTCATCTTAAATTATAGTAACCCATCTTAAATTATTATAATTCATCTTAAATTATCATAATTCATCTTAAATTATAGTAACCCATCTTAAATTATTATAATTCATCTTAAATTATCATAATTCATCTTAAATTATCATAACCCATCTTAAATTATTATAACCCATCTTAAATTACCGTAATTCATCTTAAATAATCATAATTTATTCATACATCGGCCGAGACGGAGCCAATCCTGGCATCACTGGGCGATAATCCGACCTGGACCTTTGCCAGACGAGCCTTCTCAGCTTCCTTCTTCTTCCTGTTGTGAAGAACTTTCAGTCGAGTTGTCCGCCATTCCAGAGAAAATTCAGAAAAGAGTTTGTAGAATTCGTTGATTTTAATTTCTCTGGCTTCTTTCGCTGCATATCCCATGTAGAGTACGAATTCCCGAAATCTTTTGTGTGTGTTTATGTATTTGTTTTTTGTTTATTTATTTTGTTTCATTCATTCATTCATTCATTTATTCATTCATTTATTCGTTCATTCATTTATTCATTCATTCATTTATTCATTCATTTATTCTTTATTATGTGGTTCAGTTCAAACTGAATCATTAGAAGTATTTTAGCTTTCCTGCTTCGTTCATTCATTTGTTCATTCATTCATTTGTTAATTCATTCATTGGTTCATTCATTCATTGGTTCATTCATTAATTCGTTCATTCATTTATTCATTTGTTCGTACATTCATTCATTCGGCCATTCATCCCATAGTTACTGTTTCATCCAATCCATCTTGCATCCATTACACCATACGTTCCATACCTGTTCATGACACGCTTGTGAATGATTTTCATTAGAATTGTCCGTTCGGCATAATCACACAAGACGTTTGATAGTCTGGAGGTGTGACGATCACAAATGAAGAAATAAAAATCATTCCTACTATCGTTCATTTTTGCATTCGCTTCTTCATTCATTTTATCATCATCTGTGCCATCATTCATTCATTCATTCACTCTGTCGTTTATTCTATCATGCCTACACTCATTCAATCATGTATTCACTCATTCAATCAGTTATTCAATCATGTATTCACTCATTCAATCAGTTATTCAATCATGTATTCACTCATTCAATCAGTTATTCAATCATGTATTCACTCATTCAATCAGTTATTCAATCATGTATTCACTCATTCAATCAGTTATTCAATCATGTATTCACTCATTCAATCAGTTATTCAATCATGTATTCACTCATTCAATCAGTTATTCAATCATGTATTCACTCATTCAATCAGTTATTCAATCATGTATTCACTCATTCAATCAGTCATTCATTTTATCATCAGTATCAGCAATTATCCATCCCATCGTTTGCTCATTTCATCATTCATTCATTTATTTATCATTCATCCAATCATTCGCTCAATCATTCATTCATTCACTTTTTCTTGAGGTTGAGATTGTTGTCATGTTTGACGATGGTCCTGACGTGGTCCCACGATGACTTGCACCCAACCTCCAGCCTCTTCAACTTCTCATCCAACTCATCCCAATCAATCTGGTAATGATGATGGTAATGATGATGATGAGGCTAGGGATAATGATGATGAAGATGATGGTAATAATAGTGGTATTGATGATGACGACGATGATGATCATGATAGTGACGGTAGTACTGGTGATGATTATGATGATGATGTTAAAATTGGCGATGATGATAATGACGATGACAGCAATCAAATTTTTTAAACGGCCACATTCACCTCAACAACCCCCACCACCACCACTGCCACAAGCCACAACCTGCGACAACTAACCCTAGAACATCTCGTGACGGCGGGAACCTCGGAATACACATCAGTACCTTCCGGAAACATCCCGACAACGAATGAAACGAGATGCTGGAGTAGAGATCTTCTTCTTATGCTGTCTTTAATCTCGTTCACTTTTGACAGGAAATCCAATGTAAAGCCTTTCGTCTGGAATGTTGGAAATAAGAATTGACTTTGGAGTTCGTGGCTTAGATGAAGATTCAAAATAATTTAGATGAAGATTCAAAATGACTTTGGAGTTCGTGGCTTTGATGAAGATTCAAAATAATTTAGATGAAGATTCAAAATGACTTTGGAGTTCGTGGCTTTGATGAAGATTCAAAATAATTTAGATGAAGATTCAAAATGACTTTGGAGTTCGTGGCTTAGATGAAGATTCAAAATGATTAAAGAGTTCGTGGCTTAGATGAAGATTCAAAATAATTTAGAGGAAGATTCAAAATGACTTTGGAGTTTGTGGCTTAGATGAAGATTCAAAATTTCAAAATGATTATGGAGTTCGTGGCTTAGATGAAGATTCAAAATTTAGATGAAGATTCAAAATTTAGATAAAGATTCAAAATTTTTATGGTATGTCGTCGTTGGTCTAAGTAGATTAGAAGGCCGATGAATTTAATATAAAATATTAAAAAATAATAATATGGTATTTTAAAGCCGGTACCGTTATTGGCGATACATTATTGATGTATTGTTACAAACTCTGGTTAAATTTTTTAATATAAAATTATAATCAAAAATTAATATTGTAAATACTACTTTTAATATGAAAATATAATGAAAAATTAATATTTAAAATGCTACTTGGTTGTTGTTAAGACAGTTCCCGACCGCCAGTAGAACTGTCAGTGCATATTTCAGTGTTTTGCACGTTCTTACCTGTTTCATACTCTCTTTCAGATCCGATAAACCATCGACTATTTCCTACAAGTTGGAAAATGAAATTTTGAATTTAAATTTAAAAATCAAACGTGATATTAATAAATATTTTTATTATTAAGTTAAATAATAAATACGAGGCGAACTCCTCATTCGTTGGATGAATTTAATGATACCAAAAAATCATCCTTCAATTTTACGTACGATTGTTTGCTGGGTGTAGCAAAAATTTAAAACATTTACATCCTATTTCACAATACTAAAAATGACTAATGAGAAAACATCCGAAACATACCTTCTACAAACGTTAAAGCTCTAACTCACGCTCATTTCATCTAGAAAAGATATCTACCTAATACAAATAGACGATGAAAAATTGCACAGGAATCCATTTACCTACCGCGAAGAATGTTAGTAGCGTTAAATCAACTTAACACGCTGAACCCCGATACAATCAAACAACGATTTTTATTATTACTAACAATATCGCGGCCAGTTTCGCAAAATCTGACCACAAAGCAACAAGCAGACATCAACAATTCAACAGTCTAAAAAAACAACAATAACACAACGAACACAACCAAAACAATAGCACCAGCAACAAAACCAACTTAATCACCAAAAACCAACATTTTCTATAGACTCAAACTCGAGTAGAAACAACCAGAGTTGAAGCCGGCACCTAACTTCACTGATGTTTGATATGGTGATTAGGAACTGTTCGGCTGTGCCCAGTGGCACATCAGGGTTGTTCAACTGGGCTTCAATCAATTTTGTTCGTTCTTCCTCCGTTGGTAGCAGATGATTCAAGATTTTCTGGTGACAAATAATTCAGTGAAAACCAAAAAATAAATTCTAACAGGCTTATAATTGTTTTTAAACTTGCGTGTCAGAAAAGCTGTAACATTCCCACCACACGCCTTACATACACATTTTGTATGCGCAGCACAAATGATAGTTTTTTGAGTTCTAGACAGACAGTATTCGAATCAGGTTATAGCATATTAAAAACAACGCACGATATGGCACTTCTACCGACTGAGCTAACTGACCAACTAGCCAAAAATTTGTTAATTATTATCACTGTCATCATCATCATCAACAACCACCATCTTCATTCTCATCATCAACCCCCACCACCATCCTCATTCTCATCATCAACCCCCGCCACCAGCAGCTACCTCGACAGCTTCCTTATTCATAATGGATTGATCCATGTTCATGACGGCCGTCTTGATGAGGGAGATATGAGGGAGGGTGGTGAGGGAGATGTTGATGGCGTTCGAGCGTTTCGAGTCCAGTAAACACTGTTCTTTCTTCCCAGCGTCGTGCTATTGATGTCAGTGATGTATCATTGATGTAAGGTTGAAGTAACTAACATTGATGTAATCTTGATGCAATATTGATACTACATTGATGTTTTATGTTGATGTAACCGATTTGGTATGTAAATATTGATGTAACGTATTAATGTAACGTGAGTGTACAAC